TGTGTGTGTGTGTGTGTGTGTATGTGTGTGAATTAGTAGTTTAATCTTTGAAAATCACCAGCTGAGTCAGCTGCCTTTATGCCAACATCAATTGAGGCTATGATTCAACTGTTTTTTTTAAGGACTCAGACTATAAATTTACAATGAGAAGTGACTGAATGATTTCTAGACTGAATGAATGGACTCAATGTACAAAATCCAATTAGCTCAAGTGTATCCCACCAATCATCAGCTACAGAAATCAATGCAGTAATTCAAAGGGACTAATGTAAAAAGTGCAGACAAAACCCAGAGTAATGCATTTCAATTTTCCTTCATTGCCAACCTTAAGTCAGCTTCCATATATTGTACTACACATGTCACATATACCTTGGTATCCCAATATCATTTATATTTATGTAATATTTATTTACCTGTGTATTAGAACCATTCATTTTATTTAATTTGGCCATTATTAAAAATTTAAATGACACTAACTAACTAACTAACTAACTAAATGATTAGAGTTGGATTATGGTTCCAATAATTATATCTAAATATTATTATTCCTGAGTGTTTTAATTATGTACATCTACGGTTTAGCAATATTGAACGTAATCATGCCATTAAAGTAGGCTACTTTGAATTCGAATTGAAAAAATTGAGATAACAATAACATTTCACTCTTCCAATCACTTTTTAAGATACTTTTATTATATTACATTCATATAGTGCACATTTTCTGTATTGACGTATAGCTAGTAAATACAAGGTTTCCAAAAGCCGTTTAATTTGATTAACGCTTCGCATCTAGCACTTTACTAACACCGTATTAAGAAACGGTAAGTTTGGCAGACAAATTCTGAGACGCCTGGTCGTCATTTTGGCTCAAACCGTAGTGCTGGATTATGCAGGAATTCCGGAATACAAAAATCCTGCCGGAGCCATTATGGTGTAAAGCAATCCAGTTTCATAACCTTGAGTGGGAGGAGTTTGGCTTTTCTGGAAGCTGGGAGCAACAGCGCTGGAGTTGTGAGGGGGAACTAGAGCAACGGCGAGCAAGGGAAAAGCCTCGCGCGTCTCAGCGAAGCCCTGCGCGTGGGTAGAATGAGTAGAATCAACTGAACTGCGCACTTTAATAACAGCCTACATTTTTATCCCAGAAACGGCGTGTAGTTCTTTTTTTGGGCTCGACAGAATCGAGTTAGTTAGTTTAGCGTTTAGTCGACTTAACCCACCTGGTTCCGTGACTTCAACAGCGATTATTTTGGAGTTGTTTTTAACGTTTGAATTACCTCAACCTCGAGTGGCGGCGGGATTAAGGGGGCCGGGAGAGAGGGCGGAGAAGGTGGGGCGGAGCGAGTCAAACGGACCGAGCGCTCACTACTGTCCGCCCGCTTCAACCGAACCACCAACGGATGTTTTTCCTTTCATTAAAACCGACAGGAATCAATAATTTTTTGTTTGTCGGAATTTGGAGAGCGGTAACGTCGGCTGTCAGTGTTTCTTTTCGCCGCACATTCCTGGTACCCTGAAGTATCTAATTTACGCTGTAATCCTCTGATATATTTACCATTTGGACGGATTTTTTTGGTGGGAGTGTAAATTCCCCGGTCTTGTTGGACCATGGCCGACGACGACGTGCTCTTTGAAGATGTTTACGAGCTGTGCGAGGTCATTGGCAAGTAAGTGTCACGGTTTGATCACTTTTATAATGTGCAACTGAAACTAGAGCTGCGTCTTTTGCATTTTGTGTCTAATGTCAGATGAGCGTCATAGTTGTCACTGCATTTTAGGTTGTTGTGGTACAGTGTTGCTGTCGAACATATATGACAGTTACATCCAGTCGTAACTCTTCAAAAACGGCATGTTGTCTGAAGCAGGAGGAATGGGAGTGGCGTGTGTGAGAGAGAAGTCTGTACTTTCAGCATTCATGCAGGTAGATGCCATTCACAACTAGTGTACAAGACAGGAGCGATTTTGCATAGCCACATTTATTGCTGTCAGCACTGATGATATCTGCAAAGGATTGTGATGAATAAACCGAGTCATATGCATTTTTTAGGGAGATCTACATGCCACCTGGCATTTAGGTGTTATATCCAGAAATATTATCAGGTTTGTGCTTGCAGTCATGCTAGTTTGTGGTTATGTTATTGTTAATGGCCACTGCATGTCTTTTACATTGAGTGGTCAGTGTTGGATGTCCTTTGAGTTCTGGCTATTATAATGAGTTGTTTCATTTTTAAAACGCTATAATGGCCCAAAATGGGCATTAATGTTTCACCCAATGTACTGTAATTTGCTCCTGCATTCAGTAGAGATGGACTGATATTGCTTTTTGTGTGACATACATGACGCAAATTATTTTTTGTTTAAGTGTCTGAAAAATAATATTCAATACTGATTTTAATATTTTCTTTTGCTCTTTGACACAGTAATACTAAATAATCGTTATACTACCAAATAACATGCGCTATGAGTCTATTATCTGTAACATTTAGAAACACTTTCTTGCACACAAAATAAAATAGTTTTAAGTGGTATCTAGTTGAACCACTTTTGTGGTAAGTGTCACATCATTGCAAGAGTAGTACAGCTGTAGTCAGGCTTAAAGTAAAAAGAAATGAACCTTTTAGGGAATAAAGCTATTGGGATCTAACACCATAGAGATTAAAGTTGTTTCTGATTTAATGCTTTGTTGAGCCACATTACGAGTTTGGTGACTTTTTGCTGTGGTGAAGGGCACAGCACATGTATCAGCAGGCCTGGAGCCTTTCATATTAAACTGAAACACAGTTATCTTACTATTTTCAGGTTGTAGTTGTACTTATGGAACTATTGACTATTGTTGTTATGAGACAATCTCATATTTTTGTGTTATATAACCAGGTTTTTCTCCAGCTGTCACTGATGTGCAAGTGTTTGCTTGAGTTTCGATGTAAAGACATTAATGCATGTACATTTCAAATACCATGTAATTAGAGCTCCCAACATGGTACTCCGGTACTCAGAGTTTGTAATTAGAAGCAGTTTGGTACATGTAGCTGTCTCATAATAACAAAACAACATATAGTTAGCATATGCATTGCGGTGGATTCTACTTAAACTATATTTAGGGGCACATTATAAAAATTTGGGTGTAAAAATACTCAGCCAATCAAAATTTGGCAGTGCAAAAAATGGAAACTCTGTTGATGGACTGTTTTCATAATGTATATGTAGATACAAGGATATATTTACCTCTGCCTTGTTTAAAAAAAATACGTGTAGTAATGTAGCCTAAGTTTTGTTTACAGGGCCTTTATTTTGTTCGGCCATGGACTAATTCATTTTCTTTCAAAGTGATGCACATACACACACAAAATTGAAATCCTTTTTGTCTGTCTCTGTATGTGGCTTGTCACTGTCTGTGATCCACTTTCTTGTTTCGTGGCCACCCTGAGGCCTCAAGCTGGTGTTTGGAGGTAAAGAGGAAAGAGGATGCTGTCCATTAAGCAGATACGCTCCCACTGACACTGCTTCTCTCCCTAGGCCAAGTTCTGTAAGCTCAATAAAAGATGTGGGTGTGGGTGTGTGCGCGTGCTGTGTTTATGTCTGTTATTATAAACGGCAAAAATGGCTAATATAGCACAGGACAAAGGGTCAGGATAGATGACCGAACCAGCCTGCAGTGCCATATTTCAGTGTTACATTTTGTCTGGCCTCTCGGTCTGTTTGTAAAACACTGAAAGCTGCTACCTTCCAAGTTGCCATTTATATTGTGTTATTCAAAGCAGAACTGACATATTTATGTTTATTTTTTGCGTTCTCATGTTCAGGACAGATGTTTTGGGGAATAAAAACTGGAAATCTATTCACTGTTTGAGTTTCATACAGCCATGGCAGATGGCTTTGCAAACTATTAGGCGCGGGCACTAGTAGTATGCCAAAGCGCAGAGCTGGATTTAGTGGCTGAATTTGGCTCTGTATATGTTGTTACTGGTCATCTGTTGTAGTGTACTACTTCCAAGTGGTGGGCTTTAAGTCCAGAGTGATTGTGTTGTTTAGGCACTATCGCTTTAGTAGTCTCCGTATGGTGCCAGAGCATCCTAGCAGTCTAATTGAGATTTGCTGATGCATGAAACCGTCATCAAGCAGCCTGAACAAGAGTTTTAGGCCACAGTGTGCTGCACAGCAGATTTAGCTCTGTTAGACCTGGCAGTGCAGCCTAGCAAAACACGATTCAAGTGTTTAAAGTCTTGAGACTCCTGTGTGATTGAGCCTAGGAAAGTTCATACATCCAGGTATATAATAGAACATATTTGTCCTCAAGAAACCTTTTCATACTGCTTTCTTTTGTCCACTGAGAGCCATAGATAACTCTGACATGGTTTCCTGCAGGTTAGTCCCCACGGAGAACAAAACTATCCTCCGGTCTCATAAAACCCCCAGGATTCTAGATCCTGTTGTGAAAGCACCACAAACCATCAGTAATTGACCTTCATTTATCCCCAGCTGCAGAAGAAAAATGTTGTAATAAAGGCAAGCTCCCCCCACACTTCACCTCAACCCCTCAAAACATGTGTTAACATGTTCATTAACAGCATGCTAAGCATGTTGTCTTTAATAGTGTTTTTTTTTTTTTTTTTATGAGCATGGGAGGGGTGGTAATGAGGTCAGTAAGAGTGTGTCACTGACTTCGATTCGAGGCTGACTGACACACTGATCCAGTTGAGAGGGTAAGATCACCGAATCGCCTTGCTTGAGCATTTAGCTTTGAGCAAAATGTTGGGAGTGTGATTAAGTTTGACAGTGTTGTGACTTACTTCAGCTTTATGTTGATATGAGTTGAGTTTTGGCAATCTGTGCCATAGTGGATGCGAACATCAGGTTGTTTTATAGTGAAGGCATTGTCCCTCAGGTTTTACCAAATTTTACCTTCCTTTAATGTTATTAGGATGCTGTGTGAAATTAAACGTGAACGGAGACCATTTCCTCTGCATTTCATCATATTCCTTCTTCCAGCACACATTGTTTTGTACCATGTATTGGATTTTAATTTCTTGTGTTTTCATGGACATACTGGACTAGTTTAAAACAGCTTTGTTAATGTAGTTTGTTTAGAAGACTTTTTTTGTCAACAGATCTTGGTGGTCTTTTGGAGGTCATACAAGGATGGATTTTGTCATGGATTTTGGTATCAGTTTCATGCATAAAATATTGTGATAGGCTAATATTGGTTACTTATTTTTGGTATTGGCCTTCTTGCCTCTAACAGAAGTGGTAGTTCCTCATTGTAAGTATTGTGTGATAAATAATATTGTGTAATTAATAGGGATGCACCAATGTATCCCGAGTTTTACTTAATTTACAACCATCGGCATATCGGCTATATAAGGAAAAAGGCCGATATAACAAACCGATGGTTTATTAATTAACTGCGTGAAGGCACTGAGCTGTGTCTGTTGCATCATCCTAGCGCTGCTGTCTGCACTTTAATGCTAATCAAATAACAAAAGACAAAATATTGCACACTAATCTTGACTAAATAACTTTTGTAACTTTCATAAGTGTAGCGGACCTCATCTGAATGATGACCAAAACTTTACTGATGTTTTATTAAGTTTATTGCGTCCTTTTTCACTCCAAAAAAATCACCATAAGAGCTAAACAAAACACAGCACGCGAAGTGCACATTAAACTCTCTCTCTCAGTTGCATTATCATCAACATACAGCGAATTACACGAAACACTTATTACAACTAACTGTAAACAAATATATACAGATCTCATGCCTTTTCGGGGGGTGCTTAATGAGCATGGGAGGGGTGGTAATGAGGTCAGTAAGAGTGTGTCACTGACTTCGATTCGAGGCTGACTGACACACTGATCCAGTTGAGAGGGTAAGATCACCGAATCGCCTTGCTTGAGCATTTAGCTTTGAGCAAAATGTTGGGAGTGTGATTAAGTTTGACAGTGTTGTGACTTACTTCAGCTTTATGTTGATATGAGTTGAGTTTTGGCAATCTGTGCCATAGTGGATGCGAACATCAGGTTGTTTTATAGTGAAGGCATTGTCCCTCAGGTTTTACCAAATTTTACCTTCCTTTAATGTTATTAGGATGCTGTGTGAAATTAAACGTGAACGGAGACCATTTCCTCTGCATTTCATCATATTCCTTCTTCCAGCACACATTGTTTTGTACCATGTATTGGATTTTAATTTCTTGTGTTTTCATGGACATACTGGACTAGTTTAAAACAGCTTTGTTAATGTAGTTTGTTTAGAAGACTTTTTTTGTCAACAGATCTTGGTGGTCTTTTGGAGGTCATACAAGGATGGATTTTGTCATGGATTTTGGTATCAGTTTCATGCATAAAATATTGTGATAGGCTAATATTGGTTACTTATTTTTGGTATTGGCCTTCTTGCCTCTAACAGAAGTGGTAGTTCCTCATTGTAAGTATTGTGTGATAAATAATATTGTGTAATTAATAGGGATGCACCAATGTATCCCGAGTTTTACTTAATTTACAACCATCGGCATATCGGCTATATAAGGAAAAAGGCCGATATAACAAACCGATGGTTTATTAATTAACTGCGTGAAGGCACTGAGCTGTGTCTGTTGCATCATCCTAGCGCTGCTGTCTGCACTTTAATGCTAATCAAATAACAAAAGACAAAATATTGCACACTAAT